AGGATAAGATTCTGGGGGGGAAGGCAAGAGCGTTTCCCCAAATTTAGAGCCCTTGGCCTTTCTGACTGCGTCCCAGATGTGCTGTGCTGCTACCTGCACAAAGGATGCACAGGCAGGCAGTGCGACAGACCAGGGAAAATGTCTCTCCACCCCGTCAGCTTCATTCCAGTCAAGACAAAGACTGACCCAGTATGGAGAAGCGATACGTAAGGCTGCTGTCCAAATCGGTCTGTTTACCAATGCGATCGAGCTTTTCTTTCGGAACATCAATCAGTATTAAACAAAGGAGGGGGGGGAGAACAGAGACTACTTGAAACGCTTTGTTAGTATTATGGTTACTGAAGATCAATGTAAATAAAACTTTTTGGTTTTGGTTTTCATTTTTTTTTATTTGCCCCTCCCCCGCATAGTGGGACATTTAAGCCAGGAAGGTGAAAGGGTAGTTTGGGGGGGGGGGTAGTAGAATCGGACCAGTGGACTTCGCCGTACAGAACAGCTCAAGGTCATTGTTTTCCAACACTGGGGTGCTGCGGGGTAACTTTGCCAGCCACTTTGAGTTTGGAGCGTTCAGGAGCTCATCGCTGGGATTAAATTGTTTTGAAAGTGGCTTGCGGGTAACCCAACTTTCCCTCCCTTTTTAGCTTTGGCAATAAGAAATATATTGGGGGAAAGGAGAGCCAGTGGGCAACGGCCCCCCCTTAGAAGCCCCCTTTCCAGGGCATCTGTTAGCACTGTCGTAATGGGTGGGATCCCATAGCATGAGATTCTGGAGCCGGGAAACGTTGGCAGGGGGGTGGTTTTGCTTATCTGGCCATCTCGTTTGGAGTCACTTGCACAAAAGTCACTGCCGTTTTTAAAACAATGGTTTAGACTTTTGTTTGGGAGCCCAAGGCAGAGGCAGCAGATGTACCACGGATCATCATGTGCATAAAATACCTGCCCTTTGACGTCCTTTGCAACCATTTTGCTGCTGGAGTTACGTTAATGTCATGCAAATCCTAATGTGTGCTCAGTTTTCTGTGGTGGCTGGCTGAGAACAAGTAGGGAATCCGTGGTTTCAGGCTGCTACAAAGTCTGAGCCGTCCTTCAAGTCCAACCAGACTGGCTTGTGCACCATCACAGGTAGTCTGGGTGCCACTGGACCTGAGGTTTCAATATTTGGGAGTGCCACGAAGGCCCCCACGGGGGGGTCACCACGTGCCTCATCGTGGGTGGACTAGCTTTATAGGTGGAAAAAATAACACAAACGAGTGCCCTCAGCAGGTTGGTGGCTACTTTTGGACAGCGCAGCAGGCAGTGTATCTTTTAAAAATGCAAACGTTTCTGATTGGAGATGTGGCTGTGAAAGACGCCTCGCTTATCAGAGAGTTGTTTCAGCTTCAAACCAAGGACTGTCCCTCCAGAGAAATCTGAAACCCTGGGCCGTGTCAGTGGATTCACAGTGCAGCCCCTTGCTTTGGCTTTGCTGTCTTTTCAAGGCAACCGTCAGGGCCAGGGCATTGCCCAGGCGGATGCTGGGGGCACCACCGTGGGAGGGTGCCAAACAGATGGCATACCTTTCGTCACCACCGGCACCATCTCCACCATTGTTCAGGGGTGAATCCTCCGGGAAGCACCCCTGTGGGTGGATTTCATCCGTTCCCCCCCCCCCCAGTGCAGAGTTTTCCAGCATGCTGTTGTTGGGTTTGGGGTTTTTTCTGGCCCCTGGCAGTTCAAATTGCACTTCATAAGATTCAGAAAAGGGAGACGGACCATCCCATACCAACCATCTCAAGTGTGCCCATACAAACCCAACAAGGGGCCCTGATGTCTCTGAAGCACCATCTTTCCGTCTGGTGTCCTGGCCACTGAAGGGGCATACCGGGGGCTCAAGTTGAGGATGGGCTGTAACTCTGAGCAGTGATTCCGATCAAAGGGGAGAGAAGGTCTCACTCAGGGGTCTGGACAGCAGCAGTGTTAATAGATAACAGATTCAGTCTGAGCTTGAAAGACGGACCTCTCATCCTCCCCTCTGCAGTGCTAGCCAGTTGCAGGTTATGCAGGAAGAGGAGGCTGCAAAAGAGGCAGCCTGACTTCGATCAGCAGCTGGCAGGCTCCAGCTTTGAATGTTGCATCAATCCCCTGCCAGTGGAAGACTAGTAAAAGGAGAGAGGTTCTACCCTTTTTTCTTGCTGTTGCTGGTTTTCTGTCTGCAGGGAAGCAGTCCAAAATGCGAACCTCGCCTGCACACCAAAGCGCCGCAGTCTGCCCCTTCCACCTCATTCTCCTTCATGCACAAATCAGGCGCAAACCAGACCTCACTCACACACACACACACGCACACAAGCCTCTCCAAATTGCCCAACATGCTTCAGGTGGACCAGTTTCTCATTCCGCTCCAGCAATGCTCGGCAAGGACGCAGAGGTGCCATTCTTGGAAAACCCACAAGGAACCCTGTCCTTCGCACAGAGTCTTCGGTCGGTTTCTGTGCTGGGAGAAATGAGCTTTGCATACACTCCACGGGACTTAGTCCCCTTTTCTTCCAATGCAAAGCCCTTTCACCAGCATCGGCCTGAGGGGAGGGGAAGGGCCAGGGTATTTTGAGGGTGGGTCCGGTCTGAGCGTTTGGTTCTCAAAACTATTTTGAACACAGGCAGCAGGAAGGAAGAGTCTTTCAGTTCGATTCCCCGTCCACATTTCTGCCTGCCGCCTGTCTTCCAAATTGCTCCCCTAGCGGGTCTCCCCCCTCCACATCCCCCACCTGCTATAGCGTTGTGGGAGGGTCTTGGAACCTCTTCCGCTCATTGTATTAAATGAATGTACTTACCACTGGGAAGGACATTGGCTGCATATAATTATTTTTAATGGAAATTTTTAAAAGTAATTTATAAGTATACTGAGTGTAAATTTTAAAAGCAGACTTCTGTATTGTAAAAGGATATATTGTCCTGTGTCATAACTCTAGGAATTTTACCTGTCAAAAGAAGAACTCTATAAAAATGCTTTATTTTGCTCACGGAGCCAGGAGGTGCGCTGTTAGCACAGTTGGCTGGCAAAGTTGTAATTTCATGTCTGGAAGTTTTTCTCTTTTTTTCTTCTTTTTTTTAATTAATGTCGGGTTCTTTCCCCCTTTTTCTGGATCAAGGCCGTCATATTTAAAGTGCAATTTGTGTAATATTTCGTAAATATAATACTATATGGCTGTACAAAACAAAAACCCTCTATGAGCAAATAACCCCTAGCTTATTAAAGAACAAAGCAATGAAAGAAAATGGTTGCTCGCGGCAGATGTATTCCGTGCTTGGTGATATTCAGAGTTCCCTAACTGGACCAAGATTCTGGGGGGCAGGAGCACAAATCCCAAGAGCAGCTAAGTATCAGCATGTGTCACATGAGCAAAAAGGGATTTGTCCTCTGGGGAGGAAGGCCTGATCTAGTGTTCAGCAAAACATTAGGTCCAGCGGGTGGGTCCCATGGAAAGGACCTTCCCCTTTCTACAGCCCCACTGGTCCCCTGTTGGTGGGTCAGGAGGCACAATTGAAACAGTTTTAAAAATAACCGTTGATGTGGCCGATAAAGAGAGGTATCGCCTTCAGAGGAGCCATGAGCAAATCAAGATACACCAGCCATTACAGGAGGGGAACCGGCCATTTATGACTTTATCAGTTCGTAGACGAATTCTTGTAGGACTTCTCAGTCCACAGCCAGGAGGTTATTAAAGTGGGGGCAAAAAGTAAGTTTATTTCACTTTTCCACGTGAGAGGCGACATAACCAGTCCTCTCTCCCATAGTGACAAGAAAGCTACAGCAGAAAACATAAAACTCAAAGTCAGAGAACACACTGAAGCATCCCCTGGGGTTCTGAGTTCCACTGAGCCTTGTGCGTTCAAAGTGAACCGGTGGTGAATGTCCTTTCGGCTACAGCACAGGGCTGAAAGTAGCCGAACAAGGAGCTGCTCAGACAAGGTGGAGCGTCACGTTTCTCTCAACCAGGAAAAGTGAATGTGGGGAGTTGTGGGACAGAGGCGCTGTTTCCAGTAAAGCCCGAGCCCAGATGTGAGAGGTTTAGGCCCAAAAGCAGCTCTCTGCTGTGTCTTAAAAGAGGATCCATTGTGCAGCCTTGCTTTCCACTGGCAAAGAGGAAAGCAGAGCTGTAGGGCAGTAAATGGAGTAATAACAATCAAAATGGGCAAACTCCCAGTTTATTAAACAACAATAGCCTTCAAAGGTTCCTTTCTCTCCCCCCCCCCTTTAAAAAAAGTATTGGAAACACTGAGTTAAGTGGTTCTGCCATCAAACCGGGTCAGGCCTTTTTGTCTAGGTGCCATCCCCTGCCAGGGTCCTGGAGCCCAGCCGTGCAGGAAGAGCACAGGTAAAACACGTGGGCGTTTTCTGGCACCTTAATGCAGGCAGCACATCCTAGCTTCAGTTCATGTACTCCCTGCAAGGTCTTGAAAATTGCAACAGCTCAAGTTCATTTTCCAAGGTGGCTGAATTTTTTGTCATGCCAGGAGGGGCTTGGAATGGCCTGGGTGTCTCCCCCCCCCAAAAAAAAACCCACCCCAACTCCTTCATGGTTCTGTCCTCCCTTCCCTGACATTTTCCCCTTAATGTGAATGGTAGAGTGTGATGGATGGTTAAACGCCAGCCTTACTTTGTATCTAGGGGCCATGCCTTCAGTGCCCAGACTCCAGCCTGGACTACGTCATCATGGAGAGAGCGTCTTTGACCAGGTACACATCCTTTCAGCCCTTTCTCAAGCTTGGAATGAAGAGTGTGACTACTTGAGCAGCGGCAGCTTAGAATTCTTCAGTGTTCAGGTGCCGATGACTGCGAACCACGCGAATCTTCTCCAGGCTGCATGTTACCTGGTGGTCAAGCCACAAGGTCGAGGGATAAGAGGGGAACAGGATGGCCTCTCTCCCTCCCCCATGCCCCAACCATTCGTTGCCTTCAGATCCAGGATCTGGAACGGGAGGGGGAAGTCTTGGAAGGGGGTCTGTCCCTCCAAGGGAGCGGGTCAGTTTTTGAACATGTCGCAGAGCAGCTTTTCCATGGGGGTGTTTCCGATGGTTCTGCGGAAAAAAAGCAGCTCGATCCGGTCTGAAGAAACAAATTTCAAAGCAGGCAGAAGCAACAGGAGCTTCCCGAACCTGGAAGAGTGGAGGAGAGGTTCAACTTAATGGAGTTTTTAAAACAAGACCGTCAGCCTCACGTCTAACAGTGCCGGTAAAGGCCTTGCTTTCCCAGCCTCGCCTGGAGCAGAGGCCGCTGCCCTGACAGAGCAGTCCCGTAAAACAGGAAGGACTTAAAGCACGGAAGGGGAAGAGGATGTGAGGAAGGCAGGGCTGCCAGCGGGGGGCTGGAGGGAGACCTGTCTGGGGGCTTTGGTCACCCCGGAGGCCAAGGGAGGAGGCAGCTGGCTTTCACGTTTCAGTCCGGTTGTACACAGGGCAGTGGGGGTAGCATCTGGGGAGCAGATTCTGGTACCTGACAGGCTGGCCAGGGTAGTGCGTCTGGCAATGTTGTCCCAGCATCACCTGGGACTGATCCTGCAAGTTCTCCACCTGCTCTGGATCCTTCAGGCCTCGGGTTTCTAAGAAAAAGAGAAAGTTTGCCGCAAGGAAGTGTGAAGGCGGCGCCAAGCCCAGCAACACCTTTGCTGTCTCTGTTCGCTAACTGACCAGTTTGCAGTTTCTTGACGTGGGGCTGGGTGTGCAGAGAGGAGCCCAGTGAAGGAAGAACTCATTCCCAAATGCTCTCCTCAGTTGAGAGAGGAGAGCGTGATGTAGTGATGACCACAGGAATCAACAGCCTTCAAAGGGGATTAGATAGATTCATGGAGAAGAAGTCTGTCATTGGCTGCTAGCCCTGGTGACTATGGGGAACCTCCACATTCAGAGGCACTAAGCCTCTGAATCCCAGAGCCAGGAGGCAACACCAGGGGATGGCCTCGGCCTCTATGCCCTGCTTGTTGGCCCTCCAGAGAAACTAGCTGGCCACTGTGTGACAGGATGCTAGACTAGACGGACCACTGGTCTGATCCAGCAGGGCTCTTCTGATGTTCTTAGGAAGGCCTCAGCCTCTATGCTCTGCTGTTGGCCCTAGAGAGGAACTGGTTGGCCCCTGTGTGAGACAGGATGCTAGACTAGATGGACCGTCACTGGTCTGATCCAGCAGGGCTCTTCTTGTGTTCTTAGGAAGGCCTCGGCCTCTCTGCCCTGTTATTGGTCCTCCAGAGGAACTGGCTGGCCACTATGTGAGACAAGCTGCTGGACTAGATGGACCACTGGTCTGATCCAGCAGGGCTTTTCTTGTGTTCTAATGAAAGCCTCAGCCTCTCTGCCTTGTTGCTGGCCCTCCAGAGGAACTGGCTGGCCACTGTGTGAGACAGGATGCTGGACTAGATGGACCACTGGTCCGATCCAGCAGGGCTCTTCTTATGTTTGTATGTTATCTCATGGAGCAGAACAGGAAAGCTGACCGACCCCTGACCAAAACAAAGTAAGAAGGCTTGAGGAATCACACTGATCTCATCTTGTACGATGACGAATGCCAGTGGAGTCAGTGTTAATGTATTTTAAAAGGGTGCGGAGGGTGCCAAGTAAAATGTTTAAATGGGTAGGTCCGGTTTGGTTTTGTGTCTGTCTAGTTTGCCCGTCGGCCTGTAGGAGAGAGACAAAAACACTAAGATCCTGGAAGTCTGGGCCTGGGGCCTTTTGCGTTCAAAGCAGGTGCTCCCCCACTCAGCTGTGGCCCCCTCCATAACCTTTGCTAGCTTGGTTGCCTCTGAAGCCGCTTTAGCCTCTGAAGCCGCTTTAGCCAGGAGGCCCCCTCTGTGTGTGCATTTGTGTGTGTGTCCTGATTCTGCAGGTACAGAAAAAGCACAGACTGTAGCGCTGGGTACAGAATTCAGGGACACTTTTGGCAATTTCTCACTAGAGCTGCCTCGCAGCACAGCGCCGTTTGCCCCGACACAAACATGTCAATTTCACACCCAAGGCTGCGGGGCTGCATTTGACTCGGGGCTTCGACCGATTTCCTCCGCAGTTTCATGATCCTCAAAAACCAGGATCACGAAACTGCGGAGGAAATCGGGCGAAGCCCCGAGTCAAAATGCAGCCCCGGAGCTTCGGGTGTGAAATTGACATGTTTGTGTCGGGGCAAACGGCGCTGTGCTGCGAGGCAGCTCTAGTGAGAAATCAGCCCTTGTGTTTGCATCTGGGAAACAAAGGGCAAGTGAAACAAAGAGAAGTCTGTGATGCATTTGCATTATAAGCCGCTTTTCTCCCCACAGCTGGGATTCAAAGCGGCTTAGAACATCATCCCCCCCCTTCCATTCTCTTACACCAACAAACCTGTGAGGTAGGCCAGGCTGTGAGTTTACGATGGGCCCAAGGTCACCCAGCCAAGCTGCCGTGGTTGAAGTAGGAATTTGAACCCAGGTCGCCCTGGGTTCTAATCCACTACATCACACACCGTGGGGCCAGGCCTGCTGCCATCTCAACATCTGGGCACTGAACACAATTTCCAGTGTTTGGAGGTCGGGTGAGGGAAGCCTTTGATCCCCTCTTCCCCCACTCCGTGGCTAGCCAAACCAGAATGAATGATGCAGAACAGTAAACGATTGCAGAATAAGGTATATAAGGTACTAAATTGTAATTCTAGTAATTCAGGCCTATTGTCAGTTCCCTTTGTCTTGACGCAGAATTTGGATTCTCTGCCTACGTGACTTAGCTCTGACTACACACAGCCCTGTCTCTCTCACAGGACCCCTCCCCACCCCTCCACCTCACCTGGTTTGAAGAGCACGATCGCTTTCAAGCAAGCAAACTCAGTAGGGTCCACCGCCAGGGCTTTGTAGCGCACAATTATTTCCTGCAGGGAGCAGAGGTCCGCACTGGCAGACGCCAACTTCCCGTTGAGGGCCGGGGCCAGCTCTGAGACGGAGAGAAGAGGGCAGCTCTCCAGGGGCAGCGACCACTGAATGGCGCAGAGAAGGAAGAGTTCGCTCCAGGCTTCCTCCAGTAAGATCACCTGCAACAAAACAGGACCATTTTGGGCTTTTGCACACGTTGGGAAGCAACAGGATCTGCCCCTTGGTTCAAGCCTGCAAGTATCGTAGCAGACGCACCGGGATCCTTCCTTTGGGTTTTTCCCAAACACATTTGTTGGTAAGTTATAATGGACTATATACGGGAGTGACTCTTACAGGAAGATGCATTTTACTCTTCCAAAAAGGGATCGCTTGTTTTCACGTTGTTACGTTCTCTTCCATAGTTCTTACGCAATGAGTATATCTAGCCATAATTATAAACTTCCTGTCTTCCCATTCATCTACTGTAGGTATTCTCCATGCAATCTCTAGTCTAGCACATGTTACCTTTGCCAGTGTGATTAGGTAGAATAAAATTCTTGGTTGATCCTTACGTTCGTTAGAAATCAATTTAAAAAACATCGAAATTCACACAGGTGCCATGCAATTCTATAAATTATGGCTTTTTAAAACATATCTGTTTCATCTGTACCCTGCCTGTCTCCCCAGTGGGCACCCAAAGTAGCTGACATTGTTTTGTTTTCCTCCATTTTATCCTTACAACAACCTTCTGAGGCGGGACAAAGTTGGAGTCCAGTAGCACCTTTAAGCCCAACAAAGTTTAATTATGGGTAGAGGCTTTCGTGTGCATACCCAGCATTAAACTGTGTTGGCCTTAAAGGTGCCACCGGACTCAAACTTGTGAGGTGGGTTAAGCTGAGAGTGGGTGACTGGCCCAAGGTCATTCCACGGCAGAGTGTGGATTGGAACCCAGAACTCATCTCCCAGATCCTAGCCCAACACTAACCATTAAACCACACTGGGTTATACCATCCCACTCTACCCTGCCAAGTTTGATGCTTCTATCTGGCGCTAAGAATCCAGGCTCCCATGTCTAACATTAAACCAATCATTGTTTTCCCAGCTAGATCCTTCCTAGTTACCACAAATCAAACTTCTGAGAACGCATTGCCAAAGCAGCCATTAGCTCTGATCCCCTTTCATCCCGCCGGGGTGAAGGCCTCCACAGGTAGGCTTGGCCAACATCCTCACCTGGTCTCGGAAGGGCAGGTTTGAGAAGACAGGCAAATTCTTAGCCCATTTGACAGCCATGAAGAGGAGGCGGGCGGAGGTTTCGTAGACGCTCTCGGGGCTGGTGGCTGGGTACAGGGATGTCTGGGACTCTCCCGCAGCGCGCTCCGGCTCATTGCTTGTCACATCGATGTTCTCATCTGCTGCAGAAGGAAGAACAATACCTGGTCCCACTCTTGGCTTGCTCAGTACAGAACCAACCAACCACAAGGCAAAGCCTGAGTATGCTATATTCACTAGGGGGCAGCAGCATCCTTCCATTTGTTTGTGTCTTTGCCGCACAAGAGAGAAGGCTGAAAAACAGTGGTACTGACTCTGCAGCTCACAGAGAGCAAAACCACAGTTAAGACTAACTGGAGTTAAATCAACCCACTTCGTTTCCAGGTTTGACGTAGCCTGACCACAGTTAGTCGAGTGGCCTGCATTCAGATGATCCACCCTATCCATCATTTATTAAACCATAAATTCGAGGATATTGGTGCTGTCAAACTATTTAACAAGTTTGTTGATTCCCAAACACAGGATTGCTTTCACTCTGGCCCGTCTCGATGTTCTTCCATCTGCTTTATTAGAAGGGAGATACTGTGGTGTGCCGTTTCATGAGCGTTTAAGCCCTTGCGCTACTGGGGAAACGGAAACAGCCAGACTTGTGCTGCTACACTGCCCCTTCTATAATGGCCTTAGATATATATATTTATTACACCATTCCTCCAAAAAAAAAAAATCCCAGGAAGACTGGAAGAATGCTGTACCGCCTTTCTTTCTTTTTTTACCTTTGAATCTGAAAACACCAATAGAGTTGCCAGGTTCCGTGCAGCTGCCAGGGTCTACCCAGGTACCGTGTTAATTTAGTGTCACGTATCTACTCTTTTAAAATCTCTTAACAGAAGATTGCTTATTTGTGTGTGTGTGTGTGTTCTTATAAAAGGTAAAGGTTTCCCTTGCTCAAAAGCTAGTCAAATCTGACTCTAGGGGGCGGTGCTCATCTCCGTTTCCAAGCCGAAGAGCCAGCGCTGTCTGAAGACTTTTCCATGGTCATGTGGCTGGCATGACTAGACGTCGAGGCGCACGGAACGCTGTTACCTTCCCACTGAAGTGGTACCTATTTATCTACTTGCAGTTTCTTGCTTTCGAACTGCTAGGTTGGCAGGAGCTGGGGCCAGAGACAGGAGCTCACTCCGTCATACGGCACTCGGGTCTTGAACTGTCGAACTACAGACCTTCCAGTCTGCAGCTCAGCATCTTAACCTCTGAGCCATCGTGGCTGGTGTTCTTATAACCACTCTACTAATGTATGTTCTATTCTGCTGATCCATGGCCATAATAAATTATTGATTGATTGAGCTATAAGAACATCAGAAGAGCCCTGCTGGATCAGACCAGTGGTCCATCTAGTCCAGCATCCTGTCTCACACGGTGGCCAACGTTCCTCTGGATAGACAACAACAGGATATAGAGGCTGAGGCCTTCATAAGAACAGAAGAAGAGCCCTCCTGGATCAGACCAGGGGTCCCTCTAATCCAGCATCGTGTCCACACAGTGGGGCCAACAACAGGGCAGAGAGTCTGCGGTAGGGTTGCCACGTCTCCCCCGGCCACCAGCAAGGGATGGGGGGGTAGGGTTGCCAGATACAGGTTGAGAAACTCCTGGAGATTTGGGGAAAGGGACCTCAGTGGGGTACAATGCCCACCCTCCAAAGCCTCAGTTTCCTCTAGGGGAACTGGTCTCTGTAGTTTGGAGATGGGGTGTGATTCCAGAGGCCCCCCAGGTCCCACCTAGAGGCTGCCATCCCTAGGCTGACGCCTTCCCCTGATGTGGCCTCCTGGCTCTGGGACCCAGAGAATCAGTGCCTCTGAGCGTGGAGGTTCTCCTCAGCCACCAGGGCTAGTAGCCATTGCTAGGCTTACCCTCCATGAATCTGTCTAATCCCCTTTGAAAGTTGTTTATTTCTGTGGCCATCACTGCATCCTCTGACAGCGAATCCCACATTTTAATCACTCTCCAGGTAAAGTAGTATGTAGTATGTAAAGCAGTCTATGTAAAGTCTGTACTGGACCTACTGCCTATAAATTTGCGTAATCTGCGGAGCAATCTTGTAGGTTTGACACAGTGGCACCACGCGTCCTGCGTCATTTTGGAGAAGCGGTCGTCAGCAGGGTACAAAAGCCCGGGCTTCTGTAGCCCTCCCCAGGGACACTCAAGCAGATGAGTGCCTCTCCCTCCCACGCTCTCCGCACTGCAGATCCGCCGGAGGAAGCCACGTCTTCGAGCCGCCTACCGTCCTCAGGTTCCAGCTTGGCACAGGTCTCCGCTGTCATCAGGCTGGCCATGAAGCGGTGGTTACTGGGGGGCGTCGGGGCCCGGGATCTGGAAGCCCCGGTCACGGAGCAGGAGCCGGGGGCTTGAGGGCTATGCAGAGAAGGGCAGGGCGCTGTGGGCACTTCCCACGTGGTCATCGGGTGCCCAGGTGGCCGGTCAGGATCCAGGGTAGCGGTAGCATCAAGCTGCACCTGCACGGTGCTTCGGGGCTGGCGTTCGTTCTGTACGGCTGGGAGGCAGAATGGGGAGTGGAAGAAGATAGCAAGATTGCATGAAAAAGCTGTCTTACACAAAACCATTTCCTTCGTCTGTCTAGATCACTTGTTTTCTCTACTCTGGCTGGCAGCATCTCTCCAGGGTTTCAGGTAGAGGTCTTTCCCATCACCTTCTACTAGATTCTTTGAATGGGAGATGCCTGGAATTGAATCTGGGACCTTCTGCATGCCAAGCAGACACCCTATCACTGAGCCGGATCAAGGTCTGTTCCATCACTTACCACCTGATCCTTTTAGCTGGAGATATGCTGGAAATTTGAATCTGGAACCCCCTGCATCCAAAGCAGGTGGTTCACCATTGAGCCCCTCTGCCTGCCTGCCTGCGACTGCCAGCGATTCGCTCCACACAGTCCCTACTTATATACTTGATTGTCCTGTATCCTTGATAGCATCCACTAGCTTCTCCCTCTCAATGCCATCAGATGGGGGACTGAGAAGAGGAAATATATACTTTTAAATGCCTGTTCCAAATCAGGCTGTGAAGGATCCAAGTCCCCATTGGAACTGAGATTCAGGTGTTAACAATACAAGTTGGCATTTGTATAGCGCTTTCCACGTTCAAAGTCCTTCACGTACAGTATATTATCGTGGTAAAGTGGTCCTGTAAGGTAGGCACATGAGGAACATTTTCACCAGCATCTTCAGTTGAGGTGGGTTGCCAACCTCCAGGTGGTGCCTGGAGATATCCTATTTATTTGTTTTCTTTATTTCTTCACACTTACAGCCCTCCCTTCCCAGAAGTGGACTCAGGGCGGGTAACGGCATCATTTATACAAAAATGTTGTTAGTAAAATAACATTACAATTTAAAACATCTTCTTAAATATTAAAATGGTGGTCACAGCTAATAACAGAAAAACGAAGAAGCAAACAAAAAATTCCCTGGTTGTGGGAGGTTCCTGGCAGTAGCCAGCAGTTGTTAACAGACTGATCCTAGAATTACCTCTGTAGTCCAGAGATCAGTTCCCCTGAAGGTAATGGCAGCTGTGGAGAAGCAGCAGCAGAGGAAGAAGAGACTGGATTTATACCCCGCCCTTCACTACCCGAAGGAGTCTCAGAGAGGTTTACAATCTCCTTTCCCTTCCCCTTTCCTCCCCACAACAGACACCCTGTGAGGTAGGTGGGACTGAGAGAGCTCTGAGAGAAGAAGAGATTGGATTTATACCCCGCCCATCACTACCCAAAGGTGTCTCAGAGGGGCTTACAAACTCCTTTCCCTCCCCCTCCCCACAACAGACACCCTGTAAGGTAAAAGAAGAAGAAGAAGAGACTGGATTTATACCCCGCCCTTCACTACCCGAAGGAGTCTCAGAGCGGCTCACAAACTCCTTTCCCTTCCCCTCCCCACAACAGACACCCTGTGAGGCAGGTGGGGCTGAGAGAGCTCTTGACAGAAACTGCTCTTTTTTCAAGGACAGCTCTTATCAGAACTATGGCTTGCCCAAGGTCATCCAGCCAGGTGCAAGTGGAGGAGTGGGGAATCAAACCCGGTTCTCCCAGATTAGAGTCTGTGCACTTAACCACTACACCAAACTGGTGCACCTTACACCACACACCCTCTCATGGAGGGGGGACTCCATGGCATTGCACCCAAACCCCACCTTCCCTGGTCTCCACCCCCAAAGCTCCAGGAGTTTCCCAATCCAGAGTTGGCAGTCTCAGGTCTGAGCCTCCCGCCCCCCCCCCGCCCCCGCAGCATTAGGTCTGTGCTCTCACCATCTTTGTTCATCCCAGCTTGGAGGCATTTCTTCAGCCGACAGGCTTGGCATTGGTTCCTGTGCACTTTGTCCACTGGGCACATCCCTGTGCCAGCCTGGCATCTGTCAAGGAAAGAGCACACTGGGGTCATTCCGCTGAGACGGCATCTGCCAGCAAGGGCAGGTCCTGGGCCCCTTCAGCTCCCTGAGTTGGGCAGGGCTGCCTTTCGTTTGAACACCATCCCTGCAATCCCTTTATTACCAGGATCCCTAACATGGTGCCTCTGCGTTCCGTGGCATTTTGTGGTTGCACCCACCATCCTGCGTCTATTCCAAAGATGCCCATAACCTGGGAAAGGTTGGGACCCCTGCTTTACTAGGACCCGCAGTAGGACATAAAACAGTGTGCGAAATTTTGAATTCTCCAGAACTCTTCATCAGGGCAGAAGTTACAAAACTAAGAAAAGCAGATTTTTAAGCAGAATTTAACATCATGGTGGAGCTGCGGTGGCTCAAGTGGTTAAGACGCTGAACTGCAGGCTGTGGGAGGTCAGTAGTTCAGCAGTTCGAGACCCGAGTGTGCCGCATGACGGAGTGAGCTCCCGTCTCTGGCTCCAGCTCCTGCCAACCTAGCAGTTCGAAAGCAAGACATTGCAAGTAGATAAATAGGTACCACTTCGGTGGGAAGGTAACAGCGTTCCATGCACCTTGCTGTTTAGTCATGCCGGCCACATGACCACAGAAACGTTTTCAGACAGCAGTGGCGCTTCAGCTTTGAAACGGAGATGAGCCCCACAACCCTAGAGTCAGACTCGACTGTCTTCCGAGCAAGGGAACCTTTACCTAACATCATGGTGGTTAAATAAAGCCTCCTCATTCCAGCTTTACTGTGGGTTTGCTGATAGGCAAAGAAGAATCAGCTTTTGGGTGGCTGCAGGCCAGGATCCATAAAAGCAAAAGGTAATTCAACTCCGTAGCAACAACCCGCCCTCCAGTCTCTAATCTCCCTCTTCAGCCACTGAGACTCAAGTCCCTTTTCCCAGGGACTTTGCGAATCAAAGCAACATTCCAGCTCCAAGGCTAACTTGCATCCTGGGCCACAGAAAGGAAGGAAGCGCAGAGTAAAACCGGCGGAGGGAGCAGAAGTCTTCCCAGTGAGGGCGGTGGAGAAATCTGCCTATCCTATTTATTTATTCTTCATATTTGCATCCCGCCCATCCCGCAAGCGGGCTCAGGGGTGGTGGCTCAGGGCGGGTCACATAATCTTCAACAATACAATAAGGTTTAAGAACACAATATAAACGTTTAAAATCAGTAGTTCTAGCTACTGGTGAAAGTTCCGACCCATGAATGCTGATGGCTATGGCCGGTTGCCGATAGATAGGTGGCCAGCAGGTGGGAGACAGCAACCTCGGGGAGGCCATGTGTGGACGCCCACTGCCTCAACCAAAAGCCTGGCGGAAGAGCTCCGTCTTGCAGGCCCTGTGGAACTGAGTGAGACCCTGCAGGGCCTTGATCTCGGTGGGGAGCATGTGCCACTAGGTGGGGGCCAGGGCAGAAGAAGAGGAGATTGGATTGATACCCCGCCCTTCACTACCCAAAGGTGTCTCAGAGCGGCTTACAAACGCCTTCCCCTTCCCCTCCCCACAACAGACACCCTGTGAAGTGGGTGGGGCTGAGAGAACTCTGAGAGAAGAAGAGAAGAGATTGGATTCATACCCCGCCCTTCACTACCCAAAGGTGTCTCAGAGCGGCTTACAATCTCCTTTCCCTGCCCCTCCCCACAACAGACACCCTGGGAGGTTGGTGGGGCTGAGAGAGCTCTGACACAAACTGCTCTTTTTCAAGGACAGCTGTGCCAGAGCTTGTGACTGACCCAAGGTCACATCAGCAGGTGCAAGTGGAGGAGTGGGGAATCAAACCCGGTTCTCCCAGATTAGAGTCCGCGCACTTAACCACGACACCAAACTGGCTCTGGTCAAAGCTAGACAGATGTCTTTTGGGCCAGGGACCACCAGGAGATTTTCACTACTAAAGCGTAAAGCTCTTTGAGGCTTATATGGGAAGAGGCGGTCCCTTAGATATGTTGGTCCCAGGCTATATAAGGCCCATCCCACCCCTTCTTCTAAGGAGCTCAGACCTCCCCTTAGGGTTTTCCAGCCTCCAGGTGGGCCTTGTAATTCCCCCAAAATGAGAACTGCTCTCCAAACTACAGAGATCAGTTCCCCTGGAGGAAATGGCTGCTTTGGAGGGTTGACTCTATGGCATTGTACCCCTTTGTGGTCTCTCCTGTCTCCAGACCCTGCCCTCCCGAGGCTCCAAGCCCTAATCTCCAGGAATTCACCAACCCGGACAGAGCCGTGTTCCCTCTAAACTGAGTTAGTGTGAGCTAGCTCACCGTTTTTTAGCCTCCGGCTCGCACATTTTTGTCTGAGCTCAGGAAGGATGGCTCCAGAGCAAACCAATTTATGCAGGAGCCAAATGGTTCGCTCACAAATTTAATGTCAGTAGCTCACAAAGTGGGATTTTTGCTCACAAGACTCCACAGCTTAGAGGGAACACAGAACTCCACCGCTTCACATCACCAGAACAGCCTTGGAAGGTGATTTAGGCTGCGGGTGATGGGCCTGAGGTCACCCAGTGAGCTTCATGGCTGAGTGAAGGCTGGAACCGAGGCCCTCCTCTGGCACTCCACCTTGCCAGCCCCGGAGGGGCAAAGGCCACACAGTCTTCCAGCGGCTCCCCCCCCCCCAGGCAGCCTCACCTGTAGATGAGCTTCCTGCGGACGCTGCGCTTGAAGAACCCGCTGCAGCCGTTGCAAGCGTAGATGCCGTAGTGCTTCCCGCTGCTGGTGTCCCCGCAGACTCTGCACAGGAGCAGAGGGCTCCCAGCTTTGCCAGGCACTGGGCTGAGCCCTGTGAGGGGGAAAGCAAGACAAGTTTGGGGGGGGCAGACAGAGATGGGACTTTGGAAAGTGATCTCTAGTAAGAGTTTGGCGCACAAATGGAGTAGAGGCTTCGAGGCCAGAGTCTGGGGCAGAACTCCAGCTCATGAGGAAGACAGGAGGGCCCCCCCAAATAAGCTGTTTACATTCAAAGCATCCATTACCATCTAAAGGGGGGTGGCCTGTAAGACCATTAATTCCAAAATCTAAAGTGACCTAACTCCGCTACTGGCCAAGGAGCTGTTACAGAGCTCTCCCGTAGGGAGTGTCTTGGAATGTGTTGTCCATCTGCTGAAACGTTGTTTATTGACTTCATTTATACCCTTCCTTTCTCCCCAGTGAGAACCCAAAGCGACTTACATCATTCTCCTCCCTTCCATTTTGTTTTCACAACAACCCTGTGAGGTAGGTTAAGTGGACAGGGTGCGACTGGCCAAAAGTCTCCCAGTGCACTTCCATGGCAGAGACGGGATTTGAACCTGGGTCTCCCAGGAAGTAGCGTGATGCTCTTACACCATGTTGGCCAATCCTTGTACGTCTGGGCCAGGCCTGGATTGGAGGCCACCTCTCGTGTGTGCCATCTCGACTTCCAGGAAGGAAGGTGAGACATAGCAAAGTAATAAAATGGAGAATGTTGATTCCAAGTATTGCAGCTGTCTGTGTAATGTGTTTCTGTCCTGTCTTAAAGACGCATGTGTATCTTGTACGTTCCATTGTCTTTAAAAGTACCCTCTAAGTTTGCCTGAGAACAGCCGGCTGGATCAAAAACTGACGAAGTGAGTTTTAATTTGGGTAAAACTGATGTTTGGAATTAAAAGTTCATCCACCTTGAAAGTGCCGCCAGACTCCTATTTTATTTATTACTGCATATGAACACGGCTACCCATCTGGAATAGGGGTATTGCATATGGGCATGCAAAGATTCAAAATTTGATTTGATGCTTCTTTTTGTTTGACTGTTCCACTTTTTTAAAAAAAAAACCACACCTCTGTATCGTTCCTACACCAACTGGCTGCTTCAACTTTGTGAGCATCAAATCAAGGAACAGAGGCAAAAAGGCAGAAATGTACACTGTTCCTCCGGAAACAGCAAAGTGGACTTTAAAGGCTTCAACGGACCCCTGGGGTGGATTTCAGCAGGTCTGAGCAGCATCCTTCAAGTGAATTTTAAGTAACATCTCTTGCGTGCGTTTTCAGTTGCACGTCTCGTGTGAATGTTAAGCTACTCTTCTCACGCTCCGACGGCTCAGGACTGGCAATTGGGGGGGGGCACCTCGACTTGGGTTACCGCCATGGGTTTCGGTATCTGGGTCCTTGGGTGACTCCCTCCATATCCTGGTAGGTCCCAAAGCTCTGCCATTATGCCTCCTTAGCTTTGCCCGGGCAACCGAGGGCAGAACGGCACCCTTCGCCTGCTCTAGCGTCTCTTTCGCTGCGTCCCATGAGCAGATCCGCAGCAGCCTCCAACTCTCTTGGGACCTGCTATTCTGGCTGACTGCCGCCGTGTCCAAAGAGGGTGGGAAAAAAGGAGAGGAAAGTCCGGTCCGGAGTGCCACTTACCTGACTGGCTGCCCTCCATCGCTTGGCTGCTTGCAGACCCTGCAGGGGAGGCCGTCATGCTGAGCACTGGACCCCGGAGACAAAGTTGTTGAGCCTTCTGGGATCTGCAGCTGCTTCCTTTGTTTCGGCCTCCTCTTCAGACCCACTGGCAAGGAAGTGCCCGGGCAGTGGCTGGTTTCTTGGGCAAGGTCCCGGGATCCCTGAAATCCAGGCCTTCTGTGGGCGAAACGCCCTGCCGTAAGCCTCCCGGCTGTCCTCCGAGACCACAGAGCACCCTGCTTGTCCCCGAGGGTCTGGGATGCCTTCTGTGCCCCGTGAGGATCTCTGCTCTTCAAGGCGCAGCCGGGAAGATTAGCCCTTCCTGCCGTGTAAGCAGATGCCTCTCTGTCATCCTCTTTAATCTTTAGCCTCTCTGCAAAGGTGGAGGAGCCACCAGCCACACGGTGGAGGACCGGCGAGGTGCTGAGCCCTGGACGGGGCCAGAACGTGTAACCCAAATCCCGCTGAGACCAAATCTGTCGCCACCTTTTGATCATGGCGGCCGGACAAAACGCCCTCCATCATCCTCTGCTTTCTTGTTGCTCCTGCCCGGGAGGTTGCTTCGGGCTCATTTGTTCTGCCCTGGGCTGGGATGCCAGAGATGTGGAGGCTGCTGTGCTGTGGAGACATCTGAGCTCCTTCGGATCTTCGACCCTCACGCACACCACCGTCCACTTTTCCTTGCCGCCCGAGAGGCGACAGCCGAGGTTTTGGGCAGCCAACCTACCTGCACGAGCAGCTGCTCATCAGAGCTGAATATTTCATGGGGTGCGTTTTTCAGGCCCACTCCACGAGCAGGCCTTGTATTATTGATGAAGGGAAAGGTGGAGCGTGAAGAACTACGGTGGGGAAATCGCAGGGGCTTTGGGCTGCTCTCCTGAACGTTTGGTGGGCTTGCGGAACATCTGGAGTTGGACCACACTTTTACGTTGGTTTGATCCAGGGGTCCCCAAGATGGTGCCCATAGGTGCACCTGCCAAATGTTGACAGAAAGTGGGCGGAGCCAAACGGGGGTATTGCCCATCAAGTCTTCTGATTGGCCATTGGACGTTTGATTGGCTTTGCAGAGTTCTAAAAAAACCCACTGCTTTGGCAGCTGCTGCTATCACAGCGCAAGGATCTTCACTGAGATGGAAGGTAAGCTCCGGCGGCCATTTTGTGGCTCGGCCTACAGCAGCCGCCAATTTGTGACTGCGCCCCACCACACGGTGTCAGAAATTAGGGTTGCCAACCTCCAGGTGGTGGCTGGAGATCTGCTATTACAACTGATCTGCGGGTGACAGAGATCAGTTCCCCTGGAGGAAATGGCCACTTGGGAAAGGTGGGCGTCATGGCATCGTGCCCCACGGAAGTCCCTCCCCTCCCCAAACCCTGCCCTCCTCAGGCTCCACCCCCAAAATCTCCAGGTGTTTCCCAGTCCAGAGCTGGCAACCCAAGACAGGATTCCAAAGGTGCCTGCAGGCTCAAGAAGGCTGGGGACCCCTGGTTAGTCAGTCGGGGGTACACTCTCAACCAGGGCTATTTTGGGGCGGGAACGCACAGGAACGGAGTTCCGGCTGGCTCCCAAGTTGGCCACGCCCAGCAGGAACTCATTAGCATAATAGGCCACACCCAACAGCAGAAACTCATTAGGATTGGCTACATTAGGGGTGTGTGGCCTAACATGCAAAGGAGTTCCTGCTACAAAAAAAGGCCCTGGGTTTTGACAACAAACAAGGTAAACAGAATAAGAAGGGAAAGGTGGGTGTGGCTGGATGACCACACTTCTGGTAACATGGGGGTGTGGCCTAATGTGCTAATGAGTGGTGATGTCAGGGTGTGGCCTAATATGCTAATGAGTTTCTGCTGTTGGGTGTGGCCTATTATGCTAATGAGTTCCTGCTGGGCTTTTTCTACAAAAAGAGCCCTGCACAACCACTATTTCTGCACTGTGACTCAGGGTTGGGTGGGGGGTGCCTGTTGGTGCATCTGGCTTATACTGTCTCCTCTGAGTGGGAGGAGCTTTCCAGGGTCTCCGGCAGAGAAACGCCTTTCCCGGCTCCGCTAATCCTTCAGTGGGAGTGCCTGGGGAATAAGCGTGGCCTTACAGCTGAGCCTCAGTCCTTCTCCACCATGAAAAGTTGCCTCATGTGGAATGAGTGGGGTTGCCAACTCTGGGTTGGGAAATTCCTGGAGATTTGGGGGTGGAGCCTGGGGAGAGCAGGGTTTGGAGAGGGTAGGCACATCACCAGGGTATGCCATAGACTCCACCCTGCCCTTTTCTCCAAAGGAAGTGGTCTCTGGGGTCTAAAAAATCACTTGTAATCCTGGGAGATCCCCAGGCCCCACCTGGAGTTTGGCAACCCCATTAGATGGCAGTTCATCCCTTCAGCTCAGCATTGTCTACTCTGACTAGCAAATAATTCTCCAGGGTCGCAGGCTCAGAATGGTCTTCCTTAGTACCAGCTCTAGGATTTTCTGCATGGAAAAGCATGGGCTCTGCCTACGGTTGCCAAGTCTGGGCTGGAAAATTCCGGGAAATTTGGGGGTGCAGCCCGGAGAAGGTGGAGTTTGGGGGGTGAGGAAGGAGCTCAGTCAGACTGTGAAGCCATAGAGTCCACCCTCCAAAGCTGACGTTTTCTCCAGGGGAACTGAGTTCTGTAGTTCAATTGTAATTCTGGGAGAACTCTGGGCCCACCTGGGGTTGGCGACCTTCGCTCTGCCCTTGAGTCAGTGTTCCTTCTGAGTTCCATTAATTCCAAGCCCCTTCCTTTTCCCACTTCCATTTACATTAAGGTAAGTCTCCAGCCTCTTCACTTACGAAGATTTAAGGAAAAATATGTAACCGACACTCCTTAGACGTTAGAATGACTAAATTGAGGCTCTTGTACTTCGATCACATTGTGGGAAGACGAGACTCAGTGGAAAAGACAATAAGGAGAGGGAAAGTGGAAGGCGGCAGGAAAAGAGGAAGACCCAACATGAGATGGAGAGATTCAGTCAAGGAAGCCAGGGCTTCCAGGTTTGCAAAACCTAAAAAAACCTGTTAACAGTAGGTTGTTTGGGAGGTCATCCACCAGCAGAGAATGAGGGGGGGCAGGGTTGCCAGATCCAGATTGGGAAACTCCTGGAGGTTTGGGGATGGAGCCTGGGGAGGGCAGGGACCTCAGTGGGGTACAGTGTCATACAGTCCACTCTCTGAAGCACCCATTTTCTTCCAGGAGAAGTTGGAGAACGTATCTCTGTAGTCTGAAGATGAGCTGTAATTCCGGGGGATGCCCAGGTCCCACCTGGAGGCCGGCATCCCTACTTCCTCTAGCACTGTGGATGCCACATTTGAATCATTCCTTGACTAAAGAAGGATTCATGTGGGTGGCCGTGTTGGTCTGAAGCAGTAGAACAAAGCTTTGAGTCCAGCGGCACCCTTAAGACCAACAAAGTTTTATTCTGGGTATCAGCTTTCCTGTGCAAGAACTCCTGGCGCTTTGGGGCTGGAGCCGGTGGAGGCGAGGGACCTCAGTGGGGTACAAATGCCACATAGTCCGCCCTCCAGAGCATCCCTTTTCTCCAGGGGAACTGATCTCTGTGACCTGGAGAGGAGCCGTAATTCCAGGGGGTGCCTGGGGGCCGCCATCCCTACTTTGAACTGTTCCCAGAGAGTGGAGAAAGGGGGGGGGACAGAGGGAGAGGCGATCCCTCCCCCCAAGGCGTGGGCTGCAATCCCACTTCCATGGCTAGTCTCTCGGCAGCCCCACAACTAATCCATTTACTCTGTTTACAGAAGGGCTGCTGGTGGCGGAGATGACAACTCAGGCTGCGAAGGGGCGGCCAGTTTATCAAAAAGAGATTAGTCAGCCCCCTGGACGGAGAGAGCAGCTCTGAGTCACTCAATCCCCTTGGCCAGTCAGAGGCCAGATGGTGACGGATGCTTCATCAGCCATTAGTGAGGAGGTCATAATTAGTCTGATCTCTCTCCGGGAGACCCTTCCTAAGCAGCCAGAAACCCAGACGGGGCCCGGCTCTCCCTTCCCCCTTTCCCTTCCTGGCGGGAATTCTTTGTACCAAGGCAAAGCCATCCTCCCAACTCCACCCCCCCCCCATTCCTGGCAGCCCCCGGATCAGGTTCCCAAGTGATCGATGGGTTTAAAGATCAGAAGCGTACAGCTCTGCACGGATGCCGAGTTCACCGAAAAGGGATACGACTCTCTCATCTCGTCAGACCTCAGAAGCTAAGCAGGGTCTGCCCTGGTTAGTTATTTGGATGGGAGACTGCTCAGGAAGTCCAGGGTTGCTGAGCAGAGGCAGGCCACAAGGACAAACCGCCTAGGGCAGCCAGGTCCCCAACAGCCACCAGTGGGGAATGGGGGCACAGGGTTGCCAGCTCCAGGTTGGAAAACTCCTGGAGATTTGGGGGTGGAGCCTGGGGAGAACAGGGACCCTGTTGCACACACAGTTTATGAAACACTTTATATCCTCTGCCACTGACTAACAGGTTTGACTTGGTGGGTGCACTTAGCACTTCCATGGTGCATATGTTAAGTGCCAGGTATTTTGGTTCATTTGTGACTGTTGTTTGGATGCATGCTGGGAAGGTAACATGCTGAAAGAACAAAATGTTAACTTGCTATTTTTGCTGAGGCTTATGGCCTTGGCAGGCCAGCTATAGCTGCGCATGTCTCTGGCTAAACGAAGAACAATGGCACCTTGTAAACCATATCAGCTATATAGATACTTTTAGAATTTTACAGCCTAAGAGAAAGAAACACGTATTGTTCAGCTAAAAGAAAAAAAAAAAACACTTTACTTGGGAGAGACCAGCCTAAAAGGTTTTCTGCCAATCAGAGACCTGTTAGGTCAGAGTGCTGATGTTTGATGGAACCAATAATCTTGTTCAATTTGTGTGCGTCATCCTGAGTGTAAGATCCTATGTCACTCTTTGTAACACTCGATGAGTCTGTTGGGTATTCTGGGTTCCAAAACCTTGAGATCTGTACTCTTCTTTTATTAATTAAATTTTTTTTTTGGTCTTCTACTCTACAG